AAACCTTTTTATTTAAAGAAAAAGAGCTTTCAAGTTGCAGCTACACACGTCTGTAATAGTGGCTAACAATTATTCAGTTTAGGGCTGGGATGGGGAATGCACTACCCTGTAGATGTTGGACTGCAAAGCCCATCAACTCTAACCACTGGTTGGGGCAAAATGAAAGCTGAAATCCAACAACATATGACACACTACAAATTCCCCACCTCATACAATGTGATTGGGATATTAAATGCACATGCATCCAAACTAAAAGCAATCCAATTAAAAGAAGAGGTCATAGTTCAGTGGTAGGCCTCCCGCTCACCTATATTTTGTCTCTGGTAGACTTGCACATCCAAACTATGTACTATATTATTTATATTCTTAAATGTATTAATAAAACCAGCCAATTCTATTTGGTGATGGGGAACTCATGCAACCAGGTTGAAATGTGTGCACTTAACAGTTTATCACACGTTGTGGTGTATGTGTTTGTTTTCTGTTCACTACAATGATACCCTGCTGTGAAGGAAATGGCAACTTCAACAGGCCTCACTTTTCTGCCTGCTAGGACCTCTGAGGGCTGCACAGGCTGCCAAACATATACCTCAATGGGGAAAAAATCTGGAAGTACACAAAAAAAGAGATTCCACCTAAATATAAGGAAGAATATCCTGATTATAAGAGCTGTTTGACAGTGGAACGCGCTGCCTTTAAGTGTGGCATGATCTCCTTCTTTGAGATATTTTTAAACAGAGACTTTGGAGGTTTTTAAACAAAGACATCTGTCAGGAGTGTTTTAATTGTGTATTCCTGCATGGCAAGGGGTTAGACTGGTTGGTCCTTGTGGTCTCTTCCAACTCTATGATTCTATGCTTTTGTATATTTTAGACAGGCCCCTGATCTGGAATATGCTTCAAACAAATTAAAAGTTTTCTGCTTAAAATCACCTCCTCCTTGTCTGCAAACCCCAAAGAAGGAACAGCTAGCATGTTCTGTTCAGAGTCATGCTACAGGTTTTTTTTTATTATAATCAAAATAGAATTGTGCCATTTAATGTGGTTAGGATATTAACTTTATGTGCATCCCTATAAATTGTGTAAATACTTCTCAATGAAGTCTGATGGGGAACTGTGAAATAATGGTCCAGACTGGGAACAAACTGCATAGGTAATCTGAACACCTTAGTAAGTAATCTGAATACCTTAGGCCCAACTACCATGAAAGATAAGTAATGAAGACACCACATGCCTTCATTTGCACTATATATTTTGACAAATGAATGCACTTTCTTTTTTGCATTCATGTTTGACTTTTCAGGTATATAATATATATGTGTTGCATTGGTTTGAGTGGGATGCATTCATCAATATCTACTTCCAGTTGCAGAAAAATCAGAACTAAGCAACATGTGATATAAAGGTCTACCTCCTTTGAAGGCTGCAAACTAAGAATCAAGTTTTTAAGTTTATACTACAATATTATAAAAACAACTGCACCCACATTTCCAAATACATTTATGAATAGATCTGACAAAAATTCTGTAGCAAATGTTTGGCCAAAAGCCAACTACACATTTACAGTATATCAAAACTCTGCACACAAATATTATGCAGCAAAAAGCAGACTGAGGAGTAAAGTTTTCCTAAATTTTCAGAATGTTTAAGCACAGCATGGATCCCTTTATCTCAGTTTAATCTTAGTGCAAGTAAAGAGGCAAATTACTATGTTATGCAAAGATTACAGTCTTGTTGTATGGAGACCAACAAAGCCATTCCAGCTCTAAAACATCAGAAATACTGAATGATGAATTGAGAATTAAATATAATTATATGTACATCTGAGTCCTGAATGTAATATCAACATACAGAATGAACAACATTCTAACAATAAATTAAGTTCAACACTGAAAAACTGATGAAAATCACATGAAACATCAGGGACTACAACTGCAAAACCCTTAAGTATTTGGCCAGCAAGAAAGCTGTTTCGTCTATTAACAAAGAATCATCTCTCTCACACACACAAACAATAAGTCTTCTGAGCCAGCATGGCATGGTGGTTTGAGCCCAGGACTAGGGCTCTGGAGACTAGGGTTTGAATGCTAGCTCAGCCATGAAAACTGACTGAGTGGCCTTGGATAAGTCACACCTTCTCAGCCTCAGAGGAAGGCAATAGCAAAACCTCCTCTGAGCAAGCATTGCTAAGAAAACCCCATGGTAGGTTCATCTTAGGATCACCATAAGTCAGAAATTACTTCAAGATACACAATAACAACAAAAACCACAATGCATCTGTTGAAGAAAAAACAGGATATAGTAACATGCAAAACCAAACAAGGCAGACTTTATACCTTTCTCCTGCTTCTATTTTAAAAATGCATTCTATACGATGCATGTTTTAAAACAGAATATTCCGTGACTACGTGGCCTGCACTGTAGGATGGCTGTGTCAAAAGAACTGAACTCCCCCCCACTTCCCAAAGCATGAATGTTTTTAACACAGAGAGCACATTGTATTTATGAGAAACACATGGTGAAAGAGTGAATATAATCCCTTCTTTACGCAGGAACAGGGCACTTGCCTTTCAGATTGCTAGTGCCTGGTACCACTGCTTCTTCTGCCTCTCCACAGCAGCTCCCCCCTGCCCTCCCCTCCCCATGTGATATAAATGGATGATTCATTCCCTAATTCTTGCCGACATACCCACACAATAGCTTCCTAGCCAACCTGTTAGGGTTTCTGCTTCTAAATATCTGAAGGCGTTACCACTTCACCCCTGGGCTCAATATTCTCTTTTTTAGATGCTCACTTGGGGAGGGAAACCTCACATCAGGTGTGCCAGCTAGAAACCTGAGAGGGGAAAAAAGAGAAAGAACAAGGCAGGAGGACATTCCAGAGCCCGCCCTTCAGCTCCATGGACCCCATAATAAACTTGAAAGAAACAGCAATCTTTCTGCAGCACTGCTGCAAAACAAAACCAACATCTGGTAACCCTAGACTGCCGTTTCCTTGATCGATGCCTGCCAGGATCGATGAGGCTCACCAGTCAAAGCATATATATATATATATATATATATATATATATATATATATATATATATATATATATATATATACACACACACATACACACACACACACACACTGATATAATAAGCCATCGTATTCCATATTACCATGTATGGATGTGAGAGCTGGACAGTCAAGAAAGAAGATAGGAGGAAAATGAATGCATTTGAGATGTGCTGCTAGAGAAGAGTGCTGAGGATCCCATGGACAGCCAAAAGAACAAACAAATGGGTCCTAGAGCAGATCAAGCTAGAGATATCCTTAGAAGCCAAGATGACAAGACTTAGACTTTGTGTCATACTTTGGACACATCATGAGAAGGCATGAATCATTGGAAAAGACAATAATGTTAGGAAAGGTGGAGGGAAGTAGAAAGGGAGGAAGGCCACATGCCAGATGGATGGACTTTATTATAGAGACCACGAATATGAGTTTGCAGGAGCTGGGCAGAGCAGTAGAGGGACCTGGAGATGTCTCATCCATAGGGTCGCCATGGGCAGTTAGCAACAACCAATATATCCTGGAAAGCCTGCCACACCTCCAAGTCTGAGCTGGGCTGGGGGAGCTACCCAGGTAAGCAAGCCAGCCAACAAT